CCCTAAAGGCCAAAAGCTAAGCACACACACAAAAAAACCATGTGGAAGCCGCTGAGGACTTCCCAACACGCTCCCAGAGACACCCTGCATTCCATTAATGAGGAAACTATTTTCTTCAACACATGGATTCTGAGGCAGCTAATTCAACACAATATAGCTCTCTGAATGGGTCTGTATTCACACATGCATCTGACATGGTCTTTTCACATAAACCCAACCATAAGGAAATGGCTTCACAGCTTCCCTGTGGTCAGATCCATTTACACAGAGATGTCAATGAGGTCTGTGCATTTCAAAAAGTAATGTGCATTTGGGTACTGGTAGGGACCATCCTAGACATTGCCCTCAACACCATGCTGCAGCCTCTCACTTAGGAATGGGCCGAGTTTCACGCGTTTTATGAGGGCTGTCTGGAATTCAGGATGCCTTTTCTCCTTGGCACAGTGTTATAAATGGAGACTGCCCCACAAATGCCCCTTCAGCCTTTAAAATAACCAGACCAACTCAGTTGTATAAGCAAGACCATTGGCTTAGGTGCAAAAGGCCAAAGGGTTACATAAGAGGAGTGGAAGATTGACAGAGAAGCCAACTCTGCCAACTGTTCCATGGTGTGGGATGGGTCAGCGGTGGGCTCTTCCCATCTCCCTGAACCTCCATCTACTCCAGGGTTTGTTCCCCTGAGCTGTTCCTGTTTAGCACAATGTCTTCCTTTTCTCTACTTCTGAACCCACACGTTACATCCCTTTGAATCTCTCAGAGTTCCCAGCCCTGACTTCTGGCAGTGGTCGCCCAGAGGGACAGAGGTGGAGGGGAGATCCAGAGAACTATTCTGTGGTCTCAGATATAGGTGCTGGACAAGCGGAACTCTTATCAAGTCAGGCTGGCCGAGAGTCAAAAAAGGTGCTTCCAACGCTGTCTTAGAAGGGCTGCCAAGGCAAACCTCAACTCTAGGCTAGAAAAAGAAGGAAGACGGTGACTAATGTGGGTAAAAGGCAACACACTTCAGTCTGGCCTTGGCAGTTGAGAGAAGAGGAGCTGGTTTAAAGTTGGGCATCTTCCCAGAAAAGAGTGTCACTGAAAAGCCTAATATGAGGAGAGTGTTTACAGCTATGGAAAGGCTTGATGTTACAGTTTTACTGAAAAAGATGCTCAACAGCTGTTCCTCTTCACTGGAAAGAGGCTTCCAATGGCTTGTTTTGAAAGGTAGGGTTTGGCAGGCCATCTCCCATCAGCAAGAAAGATCAAAACAAAACAATCATCTCCTCGTATAATATGTATTCATTTGCACTAGGGAAAAAAAGAATAAAAAACAATAGACCAACACGTTAACGGTGTTTTTGTTCAGGAAGTGAGGCTCTGGGTAACTTTTTCTTCCTTCTCTTTTTTATGTACATACCCATTCTTTTTCTTTAATGAGTATGGGCCATTGAGAAAATTTTAAAGACCAAATAAAAGCAGGTCTGACGATAAATCCATTGGGTTTGGGGAACCACAAAGCTGGCTGATTCATTGTGAGCGAGATTTAGATTTGCTGTGCTCAAGAAGGTCTAGGAGGAACAACAGAAATAGCTCTGAGGTTGGTCAAAATAGAATGGAAGCACACGCTTAATGGGCATCTACCACAACCTGGCTGGGGCCCAGTGCTTTCCTAACCAGGACTGCATGTAATGTTCTCAACAACCCGAGGTCAATTTGACAGATGAGTAAACCAGGATCCACAAGGGTATTTAACATGCCTTCATGGGGATTTCTGCCCCCACCATCAGCTCTTTCCCATGAGCCATCTGCCTCCTGGGTTTATCTGCAGTGGTGTCAGCTGGACAAGAACTGGCTTTTCCTTCTGGGGTCTTGGGAGGGTGGGGAAGGAGTGGGGTTCTTGTCTCTCCTCTCTATAACAGCTCTGTGGTTAGCTGTTTTATTTATTAGAGCTTTATGTAAATTTGCGTTGGAAGAAAGGTTTTAGCAGCTAATAAAAAAGGTCTAAGAATCATAGGACTAGACAGGCTCCAAGTTCGGTCTCGTGTTTGGGCTGAAGGACCCACTGGACTCACGTGCAATGTATCTTTGATTTAGAAAACCCTTTGGAGTTGGCACAGTCCACAGGAAGTGGTGCTCCAAAGGCGCACCGGTGCCTCTCTGCTGGTTCAAAACCACCAACAGTTTTAAAAGAGAACAATGGGAAATTCTTCCCACGTGGTTTATAGCCTCCAAAATCCCACTGGAGGGTTAGCAGCGAGTCTGTTGACTCAATGGCAATGAGAATGCGAGAGGGATGAACTTTAGGAATTAGCACAGAATGTTAGGAATGTTAAGAATGCTGTTGTTTGCAGGATGGGCTTACAACCTTTGCAGTGTTATATGCCCACTGTGCCCAGCTCAGAGACTTGCTCTAATAAAATACAGTTCAGCCTGGGAATGATCAGCAGGACTCTGATCTCTGAGGCTGTGCTATTTGAAGAGAGGGCAAAGCTTATAGCCAGTCTTCAACCTAAATTTGCCAATAAATCCCAACATCTTCCTAACACGTGCACTTAATTAGAGGTGCTGTGTGGGGCCAGGTTACCAGAAGGGGGCTGTGCGAGAGAGATGAGTGTGGGGGAGGTGGCAAGGAGGATCAAGGTGGGGGCATTGCTACAGCGCAGGCCAACAGAGAGGCTTCCCGGAGGATGAAGCTCACCTCTCCCCCAGTACACTGAGTCTGGGAAGGCAGATCCCTTCACCTCTGTGCTGGATTTAGTCTAAAGGGTAGCTTGCTTCAGCAGAGCCAGTCACCATGACAGGATGGTCATGTGCTGACCTCAACCTAGAGCTGAATGTTACAACTGGGTCATGTGATGCTGGTTTTGAGAAGTTTTCACATTCTGAATGGACAGAGGGCCAGGTCAACCGGTTGGCTGAAAGGCAGGCAGGTGCTCAAATGGGATAAAGACTGCAGTAGCCCAGTGTGACTATTACAGAAAACGCTTGGCGTTCCTGTTCTTAGTTCACTGTGGCAGAGACCTTGGAACGGCTCACAATCCCCACTATCAACCCCTCTTGCATTCCTGAAATGTGGGCAACAAACAAACAAACAAACAGTCCAACCCCAAACAACACAATAAAAACAACAAATGCACTAATATCAAGTTAATTCCCAATTCTTCAATTCATGGAGACTGAACAGGATGGAGCTGAACTGCTCCAAATGGCAGCCAGCCTCGTATTTCTCATGTGGAGCAATAGGTGAGCTTGAACTACCAAGCTTTTGTTTAACATCCAAGCTATTTAACCACCACTCCACAATTTCATTCCTTGAACTGTAGACCCAGGGAGCCTAAAAATGGCATCTCTCAGACTCCAGGGGGTGACTGGGGATCTGCCAGAAGGAAGCTCCACGTGAAACGCTCATGAGAACCCTGGAAACAGAAGTCACCCGTGGGGTGGAGCAGGAGAACTGGGGTAGAGTGTCTGTTCCTCCAGATTCTACAGGAGGTATGCTTATGGGCTGGCCCAAGTATTCTGGGGTTTGGGACCATTATTTGTAACCAGAAAAAACAAGCTGACCAAATGGATTCCCACGGCAAGTCTATGAGCTGGCGCCAGCCAGCTAGACTGCTCACAGGCAGCCAGATCCACGACCACCGTGGAGTTAAGAGAGTCTCTCCTAAGACTCTGAGCTGCAGAATTTGCTATGACTTTTTCTAGAACATCTACTTTGCAAGGTTGCTGTGAAGATGTAGGTGATTAAGTAAATGGATCAGCACAAAGTAACTGCTCAACAAATACCGAGACTGTCTTTGCTCTACATCAAAGAAATCACTGGGCTGTGAGTCCATGAATAAGTTGTCCCATGGAGATTATGGCCCAGAATAATGAGTAAGAACCACGAAGACCTGAACAGGTCACAGGGTTGATAGGTTTAAATGGGAAAGGGAAGTGGTGATTAGTAGGAATGCAGGAGAGGGGAACAGATGATGAAGGATGACTATGCTGTGACTCAGGTCCGGGGACCTACTGGCCTCAGGGGGACAGTGGTAGGATGCAGGCAGAGCTTTGGCTTTCAAACTGATGAGGGGACAATTCACCATTTAGTGGTCAGGCTGTACCACAATGCTCCCCCCATAGTCACACACCGTGACTTGTGCTGGGAGGTGCAGTCAGCACACCTGGCTGCTAACTGAGAGGTTGTTGTTGTTTAGAGGGCACCCAGAAGAAAGGCCTGGTGATTGACTTGTGCACAACTCAGCCTCTGAAACCGCTAAGAAGCACGGTTCTACCCAGCCACACCTGGAGGCTCTGTCAGTGGAAGACGACTTGATGGCAACTGGGTTAGGTGTCAATGGCAGCCCTGAGGAAAAGCCTGGAAGCAGGGTCGATGAAGAGTGCACGCGAGCTGAGATGAGGAAGCAGGCCCAGATCAGGGGTGGTGACGAGGGAGGAGACAGCAGGAACAGGCCTTCATTTACCTCTTTTGTGGACTGAGATGAAAGCCTTGTTGCAGCGTGGTGTATGGCCCTCTGCTGTGTAGTTCATCACATATATCTGTTTCTGATCCCATTTTGCCATAACAATTTCCCAGCTGCTGGCTGGGTTCCTGATTCTAAGCCTAAGATTCAAAGAGGCACAGGGGCCATGTGGCTTGCTCTGATTCCTTTCCTGGCCTTCCTTTCTCCAAGTCAGAGTGGTCCCAGGGGAGGCGGTGCACCACACTGCTCTTGGTTCAAAGGATGATGAGAGGTGACAAAACGTGTATTCAACTGCAGGCACTATGGGAGGGCTACGCGTGCACACACACACACACACACACACACACACACACACGCGCGCGCGCGCGCATTCACAAACAAGGAAGCTGAATGAAAAGTGAAACCTTTTGTCTTTCCAATTTACAAACAGTCTGTGGTGTTGTGTCAAATCAAGGCATGCGGCTGACTGTCGATTGTCGTGAAGGCAGTGGCCATGCGCTGCAGCCCCAGAACTCTGCCCCCAGATGACAACAAGGCAGGTGAGTGTATACTTACCCGGAGTGGGTGCTGTCACGATAGGGCAGCACAGAAAAGACACTGCAGAAGGATCTTCTGCCACTGATAAGGACGATTCTAAAAAACAAAACAACAACCAAACAAACTAAATATAAAGACACAAATTTAAAACTTCTATAGTTGCTAAGCATTTACCAGCTTCACAGCAGTATTTGCACGCTCCCACGAGCAACTCTGCCAGATGGTGATTTGCTCACTTTGCAAAATGCAACCAGGCATCCTCCATGGAGGGGAAGTGCTGACCCCGGCCCCAATCATCCACTCATGAGACCCTGTGAGGCTCTGCTGAGTGACCCTCAGCCCAGCTCTGAAGAACAGCCAAGTGGCAGGCCGCTGAGAGCGTGGGGTGGCTAGGCTGGGCTCATCAACCACATTTAAAGCACTGATTTCTATTCCGTAGTAAACACCAGAGCAACAGTGTCTGAGATGAGGGAGCTGTAAGGGCACTCCTGCCACCATGACCACTAGGATAATTTTTATATGACTGCAGTATGTTAGGTCCAGAGAAGAAATTAAACCAACAATTACATAATCAGTCCTAGCAAGCATTCCTGCTGTAAAGACACTCCTGGCAATAGTTCTATGCAATCAAAGGACACATTTATTTTTTTTTAAAAAGGCCTTAAAAGTACTTATCATGGAATCTAAGAATAGGTTTTGCCAAAGGGGATTGCTAATGGAAAAAAAATAGAGGAACGAATACATAGACTAGGGAACAATATTCTTTTGACACAGTGTCAGTATATGCCATATACAATATTTATTTCTTTTTGCTGTTTTTTTTTAAATCTAGAACTATTAAAAGCCACACTGCAATTCCAAAAGCACGAGGTTTGAATCCACCAGCTGCTCCATGGGAATAGGATGGGCAATCTCCTCCTGGACGATTGACTGTCTCTGAAAACTTTCTAGAGGGTCAGCTATGAGTCAGTTTCGACTTAATGATACTTAACAAGTGTTGTTGTTAAGTGCCATTGAGTTGTAGACGACTCAGTGACCCTATATATGAGAAACTTGAGCACTGTTCATCGAGTTTCTGGAGGCAAGCCATTCTGGAAGTGGATGCCACTCCTGCTTCCAAGCTTGTTTTAATCAGGAAGCTCCACCAAACACTGTCCCCCATGGGTAACCATTATCACATGTGGCACATCAGTGTCACAGTGTTTAGCAACACAGCAACCACAAGTAACCTTTGTATAGCAATGCACAGACCAGTGCTATACCACCTCAAACTGGTCTCCATTGCCATACTGCCTACCAAAAAGGGTTTTTAAATAGGAGGCTTAATCACATCACCTTACTTCCCTCAGCAAATCAACATTTCATCCTACTGCTCACCAATTCCAGCCAATGGCTTCTGAAGAACCAGAACCAGTTCCTGTAGATTTCTTTCAAACTGGCCTCAAGCGCCATACTGCCTACTGAAAAGGGTTTTTTAAAATAGGAGGCCTTATCACATTGGCTTACTTCCCTTAGAGAATCAATGTTCCACCTTACTGCTCACCAATCCCAGCCAACATATTCTGTAGAACCAGTTCCTGTACAACACTATTACTATTAAAAAAGCAGTTGGGTGTTGGGTGGAAAACTATACTATTAAATGCATCAGAATTTAGGGCTTTGGATTGGATTGACTTGGCCGCCCCCTCCCTCCACCCCAAGAAGTTCTAGTAGTCTAATGGATAAGAAGTTACACTGCCAACCCAAAGGCAGGCAGTTTGAAACCACTAGCTGCTCCTAGGGAGAAAGACAGGCCATCTTCTCAAGTGATTCACAGCTTCTGAAAACACATTAGGGGGTCAGCTAGGAGTCAGTTCCAACTCCAAAGTAATGAATCCTGAGGTATGTCCTGAGGGAGCTCTGGTGATACAGCCTAGAGGGAGGTGCACTGCTAAGCCAAGGTGATGCCTCTCTGGTGGCTCTCAGAGAGAGACAGACAATCTTCCATGAGCCTCCAAAACCCACTGGAAGGTCAGCTGAGTCAGCTCTGACTGGATGACAATGAACGAATATGCTATCCTCTAGGGAAACTCGAGTCCCCTGGTGTGGAAAACAGCCTCTTTCTCCCTCGGAAGTCTCAATATTCATGGGTTTGGGGTTCCCCCCCCCTCCTGTTAGGGACCTCTCCAAAATACTGAAGAACAATGGTGTCTCTCTGGAGACTAAGGTGCGTCTGATACGGGCCATGGTCTTTGCTATCACTTGTTATGCATCAGAGTTGGACAATGACCAAGGAGGATAGAAGGAGAACTGATGCCTTTGAGCTTTGGTGTTGGAGAAGACTATTGAGGGTATCAAGGACTGCTAGGAAAACAAACAGATTCATGCTAGAAAGGGTTAAACCGGGTGGCTCCTTGGAGGCAAGGATTCTGAGGCTTCGTCTGACATACTTTGGACATGTTGTAATGAGGGACCAGTCCTTGGAGAGGGACATCATGGTTCGGAGGGTGGAGGGACAGCGTAGGATTGATTCAGTGACTGGGATAATCATGATGGGTGTGTCAGAGACAGTGTGATTGGCACAGGATAGAGCAGGGTTTAGGGCTGTTGTACATAAAAGGTCGCTATGAGTCGCAAGCGACTCGACGGCACATAACAACAACAACCATGGTTTTGTGGTTCTCTGAGGATCACACTTGAAATGTCCAAGGGTTGGTGAAGGAAGGAAAGACCCTCAGTGAGATGGAGTGATTCAGTAACTCGAAAAGTGGACTCCAGTATGTCAGAAACTATCAGAATGTCACAGGATAGGACAGATTTCATTGTTCACAGGGGCACCATGAGTCACAGTCAACTTGGCACCACTTAACAATAAGGCCTTAGCTGAAGTACCCATGACTGTTGACACAGAAAGTTAAATTGCACCTTGCACTCTCTGCCACCAAATCTTTCCTCACTGAGATTAACTAGAATGGCCTTCCGATCCTGCCTGCAGGTCATGAGGCCAAGCTGGGAGGGGCATGGGGCGCCAGTTCATGAGAGCCCCAACATCCATCCTGCGAAAGTCATGTGCAGCTCCACACACCCACTTAAGCCTGGCCTAGGCCCTGTCAGGATGGGAAGAGAGATCCTTCACCCCACAGTAACCCAACCAACTGGAGAAGCGCCTTTAACTACCCTTTCCTCATGACACTCTCTATCTTTTGCGACGCAGGGAAAGGAATGTGTTGGGCAAACTCAAGCAGCTTAGTGTTTCCGCCTTTTCTTCATTACTCAGTGCTAATGTGTCTCTCCTTCCCACACGCCAAGTTTGTTTGGACATTGTTAATAGAAGGAGAAAATAGAAATACAAGTTAAGCTTGAGTAATCTTTCCAAAGTTCAAACCACAGTTTGTCTACAAGTAAATGGGTTGCACTCTTCCATTAAATGAGTGGTCACTTCATGGCGTCCACAGTGGGCAGGTCAGGGCAGGCTGATACCAGGGGTCAGGTTACTCTGATGTACATGGGGAAATTGAGCAACACCAAGTGCGAATCTTTGCCAAAAGTTCCAGAAGGGCTTGTGGGCTGGCTGTTCTCAAGCAGCTGGAGGGGAGAGGGAGTGAGGAGACTGGCACCTTGGAGCACTCGGCTTCCATTCTCAGACCCAGTGACCTGACAGACACCCCTTTCTGCAGGGCTCAGGACCCCAGCACTGAGACCACAATAGTGGCTCTGCCACGGGCATGAGCTGTCCCAACTTGGGGGTGGGGGAGTCAAGGAATAACCAAAACCACATGTCAAATGTTTCCTGAAGCAGCTTCAAGGGTGCGGGGCATTTCAGGCCTCAGCCAAAGCAGGTGAATATCAACACAAGGCGAGCTCTTGTCTTCTGTTTCTTACGATGGTGTCTCAGCATCACTTTCTCAGGGCAGCAGGTCCCTGGTAGCGCAATGGCTATTTGGCTGTAATGGAAAGGTTGGCAGTTTGAATCCATTGACAGTTTCTCAAAAGAAAAGAGCTGCTCATCTGCTCTTTTTAAGACCGCAGCCGAGGAAACCCCAGGGAGTGGTTCCCTTCAGTCATGCACTGTGGTCCCCGAGTCAGAACCGAATCAGAGACACACAGCACTACGTACAGGCCAACAGCGGTGGCCCAGCTATGTAGGTCTGTGAATCTGCAGCTCAGTTCTTGAGGCTGTTGCTGTGGTGTACCATCAAGTCAGAACTGAGTCACAGCTGACACTCCAGGGGGTTTTCAGAGGCAGTTAATTGCAGGGGAGGAGACGGCCCACCTTTGTCCTGCAGGATTTGAACTGTGTACCTTTGGGCTGGCTGTGCAACTCCTCACTGCTAAGCCCCCAGAGCTCCCTTTGGTTCTTTATATAGATTCATAAACTACATCCTCCACCATGGAGTTGGAAACCTCTAATTATACCAGAAATGCCCAAGAAGAAATTGGTTTCTTTCTATCCTTTCCAGGCTTCTATATTTGAGGAAAAAATTAAGTCAGAGCTGAAGGTTAAGAATGGCAGGCACCCAGAATTCATTTGTAAGAGTCTGCATAGACTGGCCACCTCCAGATCCTTGCCTCTGACCACGGTATTTGATCCTTTTACATCCAAAGTATGCTCTGGGAGTCCACAGGACTTTCCTATCTGTGATGTAACACTGAACTTGCAGTCTAGATGACCAGAAAGCATTACACAAAAGACTAAAACTTCAAAAGAGGAATTACAGCAGGGAGACAGGTCTCTACGGTATTAAAGTTCACATTTCTATGTAAACAACTTCTCCAGGAGGGAGGAACATAAAACAAGGAAGGAAAAGGTCCTGCAGGGCTGAGCCCACATGGGCAGAGCTGCCTCTGGGTACACGGCGTTTTCTAGCCCCTTCCGGGAAGCGCTCAGAGTGCTCTGCAGCCTAACACATTTTATTCTTTAAGGAACTCTCTTCTCATGCTCTTAGCAAAGTGTTTCTGGCATTCAAGGTCTTAATGCTTCAGACCACAGAGCGCTGACAGCCACACACTGCCATGGGCTCTGGAGTGGTGCGAAAAGCCAGGAGGGGCACCAGTTGTCAAATCAACCCCAGTTCAAGGCAACCCCACGTGTGCACAGAACTTCTCCCTCGAGAAGT